TTATTTATACAGAACTGGGGTACAGGCCAGAGATGTGGAGGGTGAGAGGATTCACCAGAGACAGAGTGGGGAGCAGAAAAGGCAGATCGACGAAGTACACTGGTGAGGGGAGCAGCAAGTGGGTTAGGAGAGGTCTGCCAGCCATGTGGATCTCCTCCAGGGCAGGCGGGGATCAAACTCATGCGGAAGTGGCTTAAGCTTCTTTATGCTGTGCTTTAACCCGCTGCGCCACCAGGGAGGGCCCTTAGAGTTTTTTTTAAAGAGGTTTTTATTTGTGCATACAAGAGCTGGGGTGCAGGCCAGAGGTGTGAGGAATGGAGGGATTAGAGGACTCCCCAGAGACAGAGTGGGGAGCAGGACAGAACAGGACAGACGTACTGACATCCACTGCTGAGGGAAGCAGCGGGGAGCCAGGAGAGGTTTGCTGCACCCTGGGGGTGACTCCCTGGCCGGGGATCGCACTCATGCAGCAGGGGCTGTGGACAGCTTCATATTGCTGACACTCAACCCCTTGCCCCACCAGGAAGGAGGCCTCTCTTTTTGAATTTCATGAACGAGCTAGATGCAGTATAGTATTGGCCAGAGTAGAATTATTGGAGAGCAATAGAATACAAAATTGTGTGGGAGATAAGACTAGTACGTATAGAAGTACCCTGTGTTAATTTATGTTGCTATACTGTAAATCCTTCCATCTTCCCAAGCCTTGAAAAGTTGGCCACAGTACCAAAAACACTTTCCCTACCCACCAAAAGAAAGTGAAACATATTAGACATTTATTGCTCGAGAATTAAAGGACTGTTAGATGGAAGTGTCATGATGCTGTAGATTAGGACAGAAGAACGCAACAGAGAAAGAATGAATGGACAGAATGTTCATTTCCTGCACTACCGGGTCAAATGGGACAGGCCACAGACAGGTAGAAAATATTTGCGAAAGATGATGCAGTGAAGGGCTGCTATCCAAATACATAAGCAATGTACTAAAACTCGGGAAGAATACAGACAACCCAATTTAAAAATAGGCAAGACAGTTTTAACAGCGCATCAAAGAAGTTTCGTGGCATGTTTTTCCCTGTACCTCCAGAATTCTTTTTCGAGGCACATGGAAGAAAACTGCATTAACTTTGACTTTTAGGATTGTTTTTATGTTGTCAGTTGATTAGAGAGCCCTCTAGTGAACATTTTAGAGCATATTTAGAGTTACTTGTTTATATTATGTCTGGAATTTCAGTACTTTTTGCTAAAAATTCTGTCTTCTCACTGACATTTTAATATAAATGAGTGAAAACCTTCAGAGCATTGACTCCAGAATTGGGAGTCTGTCCTTTTTTTTCCTTAAAGTTAACAATGATTTACAAAACACAGATTTTTCAGATTCCATAATCTCTCCCCTCGTTCCCACCCCTCAGGGAAAAAAATTAATAACTTGTTATTTTGTGTAGAAAAATAAAAATTGTAGCTCTTAGGACTGAATATTGTTGTATTCAAATAGAAATCTTCCTGCTAAGTGATAGGGTCAGAACAGCCCTTGAGCACCCTTTTAGTAAGTCACTCAGCTTGTCGTCGGGGAGGATTCAGTCCTGGAGGCTAGGAGCGCTGGCTTGCTCTTCCACTGTTCTGTCGCTCACGTTGCACACCCTCAAGGTTTTAACAGGGAGGTATGTGGTTTGGGGGTCACTGTGTGATTCCTCAGTACCAAGCAGTGGATGTGAGGATTGGCTGGTGTTTGTGTTTCATTAAAAAGGTTCTGGTACATCTTATAAGTTATATTAATTTTGTTAAATTGATTTCAGCTCATCCTTAATAATAGTTAATTTAATTGACAGAAGCAGTCATAGTCACCTGCTACTCTGCAGCTGTGACTCATGGAGCCCGTTTAAGACAGCGGCACCCACCTGACCCAGTCACTGGCTGGGTGTTGGAAAGTGATGTTTTTGTGTGTCCCTTCAGGAAGCTGACCTGGTCACAACGCATGAGTTGGGACACAACTTTGGAGCAGAACATGACCCAGATGGCCTAGCAGAATGTGCCCCAAATGAGGACCAAGGAGGAAAATACGTTATGTATCCCATAGCCGTGAGCGGCGATCACGAGAACAATAAGGTGAGTATCCTTGGGCGCTCGAGTGGTTAGGGAAGACGGCGCAGCGCTTTGTCACCCGCGAGCACAGGCAGGCATTCCGTGTAGGGTGGGATGCGGGCCACGTGGCCACTTGGCCACTTGGAAGCTGGGTTGGCTACAGCTGTCATTTGGCCTGTTTGGTGTCAAGGCTATGTAGAGAGTGCAGCTATGATGGTTTCTGTAGCAGTTCTAGAGTGCCAGGTTTGGTGAGCTCAGGCGTTTAGTTATGAATTTCCTGTCAGCTTCACTTACAGTTGTTACTCTTTTTTTTTTTTTTTTAAAGTTTATTTTTACATCATTTTGCACATTTTTTTTTT